GAAGATACTTCATACCTATGTGTTAGAAGAAAATGAATATACACTCACACAAAACATATATTTAATACATTCAAACAATACTTGCTTGTATTAAAATCGTGTTTATGAAAGAGACTATGCACTCACTTGTTAAGACGATTGCCAGACATCACTACGGCTCTTCAAGTAGTAATTCTTCGATGAATCTGGGATATCTTCACGCATCGGGCTTTTCGCGGGCAGAGCTTCGACTCGAAAACTCTTTTCTTCTCCGGATCTTCGGAGCGTCAGGACTTGCTTCGGGGGTCGGGATGATACCGGGGCTTCGGGGGTACTTCAAGAGGGCTAGAGAGGGTGTAGAGAGTGATTGAGTAAGTGAATTAGCAACCATGGCCGGCTGCCCTTTGGTTTCTATTTATAGGGTCGAATTTTTGGATTCACGTCGTGAACCACAAGTTCATGTCGTGACTTCAGTCGTCATCAGGTGCGTTATCGCAACTTGGGTCTGCCAGACTCCGGAAGACGTCCATCATCTGTTCACGTCGTGAACTCTGACAGTGGTGGAAGTTCGTGCCCCGAACTTCAGAAATTCATATATCTCGCATACGAGCTCCGTTTTCGACGTTCTTTATATACACGCGTAGGTGAGATTATGCTCTACAACTCTCGTTTAGACTCCGTCGGCTAATTTTGATATAATTGTTATTATATTATTTTTAGTAGGCCGGGACAGGAAAACTCCGTTAGAAATTCATAACTCCTTCATCTGGTGTCCGTTTTTGTCTGTCTTTTTACTGTTGGACTACTATCGATGAGATCTTCGATTCTCATTTAGATTGTTTAGGCTAGAAATTACTCGATCTCATATTCGAACTTTGGGCTGCATACCGCTAAGTCGAAACTTCGAAAATAATAACTTCATCATACGAAGTCAGATTTTGACGTTCTTTTATGCACACTCTCGGTTTAGCGTATTCTACGACTTTCGTTTAGATCACTAAGGCTAAATATCGCTCTATCGTAAATTCACTATTTACGTCACACAGTGTCGTACCGGTTTTGTCGCGAAACTTCGACATGTCATAACTTCTTCGTTATAACTCGGATTTCGGCATTCTTTATATATCCGGAATACTTGTCACGACCACTACCTCTTTGAGTATAGATATTGGGCTTATCTAATATTTTATTTTAACACTCATATTTATTCTTTGATTCATTTAAATCACAACAATTAAGCATGAAACACATAATACTCAAATAATACATTTTATTATTTCAAAACGGACTACAAAGGTTAAGCTAGACTGTTACATCAATATGAATGTCTTGCCTAGAAACGCGGGCGTTACAAGTGGGAGGCAGTGTAGATCTATTCGACATGAGAGGCGTCAAGTTTTCTAGTAATTTATTTGGAGGAGGTGGCGGCAACGGTGGTTCATGATTTTCTAGTATCGACGGTAATGGTGGTGTATTCATCTTCTCCGATGGGGGTTCTCAACACAACTCCACTGGTCTGCATAATTCTATCTTCGATTTCGATTTCTTGTATCCCCACAGCGTCGTCAATTGCATTATTACACAAAATATGATCGTTTTCGTCAGAGCTTAAACCCATTAATCTAAGGAAAATATGTTTTCGTTGGAGAGCACTTGTAGGAGCGTTGATCCATATATCATACTGGAAATCATTTGGCACCGAGTCGAACGAGCCAATCTTCCATGTACCCTCGAAGAGCTTTACAAAGGTATAACAAATTTAACTGGTTCGATGGCTTAAAATCCTAAACTGGATCTGGAATCTTTTTTTAAAACCTGGTGGACGATTTCTGGTGGCAGATGATGGTGGATTAGTGGCGGTGTTGGAACAAATGGTAAAGGGAATAATAGAGGAGTCACCAATGCAAGGAAACGGGGGATTAGGGCTTTCCGGCGGTGTGGGGATGAGAGAGAGAGAGAGAGAGAGAGAGAGATCTTAATTGATAAGAGACGTGACAATAACCCTTACGAAATAAATTTGTACCCTTCAAAGGCAACAGAAAAAGCTTCAAAGGCAACAGAAAAAAAGTTACGAATGATCATTTAAACCAATATACGAAACAGTGTTGAGTTACAGTAACAATAACCCTTACGAAATTAATGATTATTTTAATGAATAAATTTTTTCTTTTAATGTTTATTATAAAGTTGTCAAAGAGATTTATATTTTAAAGAGTGGATGATGAAATTAGACATATTTGTTCTTTCAAAAAAAATACTTATATATAAAAACTATTTGTCATGACATGCAAGAATAAATTGTGTATTTGTTTCTGAACTTTTATTTGTTTATTTTTTGGGGGGTGGGGGGGTGAAAATTCCTTGTTTGAAATTTTTTTTTCTTGTATGTGTATATGTTTCTAATTTAATATTGGTAACTGTAACACGAAATGTCAAATAAGGTGGGAGGATCTAGAACAACTCAGTTACATAACGTCCACCGGCCGGCTTCTTATAATTCAACCTCATATTAATCTCAATTTGGACCAACTCAAAGCTGACCACCAAGATACTATTGCACCATCATCAGCCAAAATGATGTGACTGCATGGCCATGGCGGTTATATAAGCAACCAACAATTTCGCTTATATAGTCCAAACACTCACACTTTGCCTTCACCTTCATCTTCTCTCGTCGACAACAATGTGGGGAAATAAGATGATTTCTTCAACATTAGCCAGGTCTTATACCAGGGAATCCAAACCCGATTCTGGTGAGTTTCATTTGCTTAATTTTTCTTTTTTTACACCATCTTGATCAGATCTTGTTTCAGAATCGTCTCATTGGTTTCATTATTCATGAACTAGATTCGTAGTTCTGTAACCAAGGTTTCGTTATCATTATCACTGAGTTTGAATGTTTGTTGTATCTAGGGAACTTGAAGAAAGCTCTACTAGTCTTCTGCATGGGGTTCTCTGCATGGGCTTATCAAACAGCTCTTCCACCACCTCCCACGATGGTGGGATCTCCAGGTGGCCCTTCGATTACATCACCAAGAATAAAGCTTCGTGATGGAAGACATTTCTCGTATATAGAATCAGGTGTTTCGAAAGATACAGCAAAATATAAACTGATATTCATCCATGGCTTCAACTTAAATAAATACCATCACCCTTTTTCCGCCACAGCCTCACCAGTACGGAATAATTCTTCCTTTAATTAATTTACTTTCCGCCATTGTTTAAAAATTGCAGCTTCTGAGTATATATATACATATATACTGCCATTTTTACAGGCTCTTGTTAAAGAACTAGGGGTGTACTTTGTTGCAATAGACCGACCTGGTTATGGAGAGAGTGACCCGGACCCTAAACGAACTGTGAAGAGCTTGGCATTTGATATCGAAGAGGTCGCTGATCATTTGAACTTGGGACCAAAGTTCTATGTAGCTGGATACTCTATGGGTGGTCAAGTCGTCTGGTCTTGTCTCAAGTATATCCCTCACAGGTTTGATTTAAATCTTGCAACTTTTCAAGCTTCATATATAAATAATCACATTGTATTTGTAGAACTAGATGTTATATATATGATCTATCTGCGCCATTAACAGGCTTGCGGGAGCTGTTCTTATTGCTCCAGCCATTAATTACTGGTGGCCTCACTTACCTTTAAACGTAACCAACGAAGCATTTTCACGGCAACTTCCACAGGATCAGTGGTCTCTGCGTGTTGCGCACTACCTACCATGGCTTAGTTATTGGTGGAACACTCAAAAATGGTTTCCTTCTTTTTCTATAATCGATGGAAACCATGCTATTCTTTCTCCCCCAGATATAGAAGCTTCATCAAAGCTATTTGGTGGCATGAATCATGATCAGGTATATATATACTTCCGTTTTTAAGTCTTTAATTAATAATCTTATATTACATATGTACGACTAGAAAGGCATGCATTAGCTAGTTGAGATTTGGATTGTGACATATCATTATATATTTCATAGAAGATGTACAACTTTATTATTTTTTTTTTCTACAGTCCTATTTAGTACAATATTTATTTTAGAATTAAAAATCTTTTATTTTTTCTTATCGGCTATTATACTTCAAATCCAGTGAATACCAATGAGGTCATAATATTATATAGGTTATCCATTGAATACAACTAAAATTATCATCTCATTCAACTCTCTTGTTAAGCTCCGCATTGTGGATGTTGTTAAGCTCCGCATTGTGGATGTTCTGAGGATCACGAATATTAGTAGTTCGACGACTTAGTTAATGATATTTCATAAACACACTAGCTGTTAGATTTTGGATTTTAAGTATATCAATAATCACTCGGATAATTTTAGGATCGTGTTTTATATGTATACTTTTAAAAATCCGTGATTTCGACTTTATTGCATTGGGTATCACGAAATCTAATTTGGGATAATCCAAGAGCAATCGATTTGGAATTCATGCCTCTTCCAAATCGAAAACACAGAATATACCTTCTTGTTTGCGTTTTTCCAAAGAGACACTAAGTTGCATAGACACTACTAGAAAATAGGGGGTTTTCCTACGGAAAATAGTTACGGAAAATTTCCGTAGCTAATTAACTACAGAATAGCTACGGATCAGCTACAGAATGGGACACCCTAATTTAGTAACGGAATCGCTACGGAATAGCTACGGATGCTAGTCCGTAGCTAATTAGCTACAGAATAGCTACGGAATAGCTATGGATGCCAATCCGTAACTATTTCGTAGCTAATTAGCTACGGAATAGCTACGGATTCAAATCCGTAGCTATTCTGTAGCTAATTAGCTACGAGCTAGCGACGGAAGAAAATAGCTACAGAATAGCTACGAAATAGCGACGGATTTTCACTACTACAAAAAAGTTTATAGGACCCGGTTAAATCAATTAAATAACCCGGTTTTAAACCGGGTCTTAAAGCCAGCGAGTCCTATGTGAAAAAAGGAATAGAACCCGGTTTTAAAACCAGCTCCTATCTGACATAAAAGAACCCGGTTGTTCATAAAACCGGGACATATAAGAGGAACATAACGCCCAATATTTGATCATATATGAAGATTAGGATGCGGTCCAACCATACAAAACCGGGTCCTTTTAGACATAAAGGAACACGGTTTTAATTGAAATAACCGGGACATATAAGGAGATTAAAGTCCCGTTTCCATGCAAACAACCGGGCCTATAACTTCTATGTCAAAAAACCCGGTTGTTTAAAAAACGGGTCCTATAACACTTTTATAATTTGTGTCTCGCTGGCATAGAACGCAGTTGTATTCTAGGAACCGGGTCATAAAATCATATATTTAAAAGTCCCGTTTGTTACATAGAAACCGGGTTATTTAAGTATGATATAAATCCCGGTTATTTCTTTCACGCCGAGTCATATAAGCCTGACATTTAAAACACCCGGTTTTTACATAAGAAGACCCGTTTTTTTCCAGAAACCGGGTTTTATATGGCGGGTTTTATTTGCCTTTTTTGTAGTAGTGTTAATTTCCATTATTATTATTACTCCCATTATTATTATTTTTCATTATTCAACTCTTAATTTTTTTTTGGATCATTTTTCTTACATATTAATTTTTTTTAAATAAAACGAAGTTAGCTACGGAATAGCTACGAAAATAAATAGCTACAGATTCCGTAGCTATTTCGTAGCTAATCCACTTCCGTAGCTATTTGGATCCGTAACTATTCTGTAGCTATTTAGTTCCGTAGCTATTCAGTTCCGTAGCTATTCCGTAGGAAATCCGTAGCTATTTATCTCCGTAGCTATGGTAGCTACGGAAAATTCTGTAGCTATTCCGTAGCGGTTCCGTAGCTATAATTTAGCCACAGGCCATTATGCTATAGCCATTTTTCCGTAGCAATTCCGTAGCTATCCGCTTATAGCTACGGAATAGCTACGGATTGTGCTGTAACTATTGCACCAGTTTTCTAATAGTGAGAAGACAATTTCTGATTATTGTAAGTTCTAACCTTTGCATGCATCATCAATCTTTCTTTTATACATGGAAGATGGCGGTTAAGGGTGACTCTGCCCCTTGGACCCTGCGCTGCCCCTGACCCCTATATTCTCACATCCACATTTATCACTCCGAGTGTGCACCCCGAACCTCTAGTCTCAATGAGTAAATTGAACTTGCCTGCCTAGTAATACTAACTACACTAAAACATATTGATAACACTAAAAGCACCGACACTAATTGGGTTTGAACTTTAAAGATTTTAATTAATGAAATAAAAACTTTTTCTTATCATATTGGGAACAAAAAGATTCGTCGTAAGGATGACATTAGGCTTAGGGGAGTGGGAAGGCAACCGACACCATGATGGCAAGCTCAACAAACATCATCCTACCATGGTGGCATGGCGAGGAAAGAGAAAGAACACGACAATGGGTTGGTAGAGAGAGTAAATCTTATAATTTCCAATTTTTCTTCTTCATATCTTCTCCATTTCCATGGCACCACTACCTCTTTTCTTTTTCTTGTCATGATAAATTAAAATATAGCTTATGTGGAGCTTAAGTGGCCATGACAAGAATGAAACTATTCCCTCCATCCTTACGGACAAGAGCTAATTCTTTGATGTTGATTAATTTTTCCCATGGTTTACTTTATTATATGTTCTCACATTCTATTGCTTAATATCTATCAAAATAATTATTCAGATGTTTATATATGAATGGTGTTGGTTTAGAAACATCACAAGTGTATATGTGTTATCAAGAGGGAGGACATAGTAGGTGTTGTGGAGTGGCACAAACAACCTTCAAATTTTACTGTCAAGTGCAAAATTTAGTATAAATTCGTCATATCCGTCCCTAAATCCATCATAAATCCGTCACAAATCCATAACAAATCCGTCACTAATCCGTTGGAAATCCATCATAAAGTCCTAATAAGCGTAAATTTAGTCTAAATCTGTCCATGCAATCCTTTACTGACGAATTTTTTGACGGAAAGTGCAGCCAAAAATGAGTTTTTTTTTGTTTTTTTTTTTGTTTTCTTTTTTTTTTGTTTTTTTTTCCTAATAATGTAACCCTTAAAAAAAATTATGCGACTCCTAATATTTCTTTCTATGTCTACCTCCGATTGCTTGTTAACTTTACGTATCATGTTATATCTTTTGACACATGCATTGCCATCCCGTAAAACAATATAAAAATGCATGTTATATCTTTTGAAACATGCATTGCCATTAGGCAAAACAATATAAAAATGCATCAACTTTGTCCAACTATGCAATCTACTTTACCCCCACATCCGTATAAAATGACGTCTAAACGGAAATTACAATTACACCCTTCAATTCTGATTTTAATCTAAAAATCACTAAATGAAACAAAGTCCACGGTTCAAAGGTATTGTTTCCCAAACTTTATTACGTACTTAACAACCATTTTAATTTTTATTTCGAAATGATTTTTACATCAAAATTTTGC